TCCTAAATTCTATCAATTAACAATTATGTGTATCAGCCTGAGTTAACATACCGATACAGGACCAAAAAAAAAAAAAAAAAAAAAATCACAACAAGATCTCAAATACTTGCACACTCATGTTTCCTGCTCCATTATCCAGTCACCAAAGATGGAAACCCAAATGTCTAATGACAGATAGACAGATAAAAGAAAATGTGTGTGTTTTCAGCCTCCCAAGAGCTGAGATTACAGGCGCACCACCACACCCAGTCTCATGCCATGCTGGAGATTGAGCCCCTGTCCTATGCAGGTATTCTTAAACTTTGAACCACTCTCCCTTGCACAAAGTTCAAAATTCTTTGGAGTGGTATCCAAGGCCATATATAAATTTCCAAACTTTTTATAATAAGCTTACTGACGAAGTTCTCTAGGAGCCTTATTCCCCTATTCATTCTGCAGAGCCATCACATGTTCCTTTTGTGTAGATGCTCCTGCATTTCTGCAGGAATCCTCCTCAGGATCTATGTCTCCCTCAAAGCTGTGTAACAATAATATCGCCATACTTGCTTGTTTCCCAAGACAATTTCTGCTTACTCAAATATCATGGTAGAATTATGAATAATGGTCCTTCTACCAATAAAAGGTCCTGTTTGCAAGAAAAAAAAAAAAAAGAAAGAAAGAAAATGTGGTATATACAAACAATGGAATCCAATTCAGTCTTAAAAAGGAAGGAAATTCTGTCACATGCTACAATGCAGGTGAATCATGAGAACATAAAAGAAATAAGCCAGCCAAATAAAAGAAAAATTTTGTATGACTTCATCAATATGAGCTACCTGGAGTAGTGAGATTCATAGAAATAATACAGTAGGGGTGCCAGAAGGAGAACTAGGGTATCTAGAAATGGCACTTCAGTTACAAACTAAGAGAAGTTCTAGAGATGTTGCACAACTGTAAATATACCATTACTCCTAAACTATACTCTTTAAAATGGTTTATGTAAGTTGCTATGTCTTTTGTATTTTTTAAAAAATTAAAGATCCAAGACAACCTATTGTTGTCTGACCCATGCCTATAATCCTAGCACTCTGGAAGGCTAAGGAAGAAGGATGACAAGGTTTTTGTTTTGTTTTGTTTTGTCTTTTTGAGACAGTCTTGCTGTGCAGTTCAGGCTTACTGTGTAGCCCAGGCTGGCTGAAACTCGCAACAATCTCCCTGTCCTAGCCTCCTCATTGCTAGGATTACAGGTGTGCGCCACCATGCCCAACAGGATGCCAAATTTGACCCCGACCAGGCCAATGGAACAAGACCTTCTCTCAAAATAACAATGAGGGGGGAGCAGACTAGAGATAGATAGATATAGATATAGATATAGATATAGATATAGATATAGATATAGATATCAGCCCAAAAGCTCTAGGTTTTAATAGCCTAAGTGGCTTCTCTAAATATTTTGTAGACTTTTATTTTATCTCTATGGTTGACTTTAGTTTCTATTTTATTCATAGTGAACATGAATCATTTTAAGTAGAATAAAGCTTTTTATCAATCTTTTTTAAAAAACTTTTAAGATGCATGGACTGGGGTTCAAACCCTGGCATGCCATGCTGTGCTAGGCCTGACCCCAGGGTGCACTGAAACAGGAGAACCACTATGAGTCCAATCTGTACTAAATACATAAACAAATAAACAGTAAAAGTTTTAAGAAGATACAGAGCAATAATATTTTACCACAGTGTAACTACTTAATATTTAAAATCTAATACTGAAAAATACCCTAACATAATGCTGTCTTTTACTGATTTGGAGGGAAAAGTAGCTTAAACGTTTTTATTCATAATAAATAAATAAGGCCAGGGATGGTGGCATGTGCCTGTAATCCCAGCACTTAGGAGGCTAAGACAGGAAGACAAGGCCAGCCTCTGCTACACGAGTTGAAAGTCAGTTTGACTCACATACGAAGGTTTTGTCTCAAAACAAACAAAAAAAAGAAAGCATATTTTATATTTGGAAAACTAAATTATCTACAAAATATATACCAAAGAAAAAGTGCAATAACTACACTCACTTTACAACTAAAGAAAACCAAAGATATAAATGTTTACTCTGACCACTTTAATTGTCTAAAATCTTTCTTATAATACAGTACAGCACTCTCATCTACTCAGGAGCCTGAGGCAGGAAGATTCCAGTCCAAAGCTCATGTGGACAAAATAGTTAGAACCCACCTCTAAAAACAAACAAACAAAAACTTAAAACCCCTTTATAATTTTCATTTAAAAAATATTAAATAATGAAATGCTCCAAATTATATACTAAATTATGAACCATTTCAAGAAAAAAAGGGAGAACTGCAGAAACACCTGAGAGTTCTAATTTGATGTTAATTTTGAAGGAACATTTTGAATACAGTATTGCATGGTAATTTTAAGCAAAGAAATGTTAATATAAATTGCATTTTAATATAGAAATTTGATTTGTACACAGTTCTTTCCAATTTATTACAAATGAAAGCAAAATGTTCAATGAACCCCAAGTTTTACAACAGGAAATTAGTGAGTTGATCCAGGCATCTTAAAGATCAAGGAAGCAAACTTTACCTAGGCAGCGAAGTTAGGGCTTCATGAGCAATATATATGTATAGTCTCTACACATGCTTAATTCTACTATTTTAGTGCAGCCATGATTAAGCATGGCTATATTCTAATAAATCTTTAAGAACACTAACATTTGAATTTCATAAATTTCATATTATCAAACAGCACTTTTAAATTTTTTCCAATCATTTAAAATGTACAACTCAGGGCTCTGGGGGTATAGTTCAGCAGCACAGCACCTGCCTGGCAAGCATGAGGTTCTGAGCTTGATTCCAGATTGCACTCTACCCCAACCATGGCAAACACACACACACACCCCTTATAAATACATAAGTAAATAAAATGCAAAACTCAGGCTGAGGACATAGCTCAGTGGCATAGTGCTGGTCTGGCAAGTTCAAGGTGCTCAGTTTGATACCCAGTACAGCAACAACAAAATAAAACTAAAAATAAATAAGTAAATAAAATGTAAAACTCATTTAACCTTTTATCAAAGAATTTGCTGATCCCTACTATAAGCCAATCTATTTCATAAAGAACACTATTGCTGCTAGAAAAATATTTTAAAAATTAGATCAATATGTTGCAGGCAGCTGAGTTAGATAGAAATGTTATAGGCAGTCAGACAGGGCAGCTCGCAAAGGAGATGCCAAATAAGACAAGATATCTTGCAACTCTGGGAGGCATGGATGCTCCCACCATGGGCCAGACCTAAAGACCAAAGATCAAACAAATGCCGACCTCCCCTAAAGATTGGCATCTGAGATTGATCCTCACCCTGAGGGAGCAGGAAGAACCATTAATCCAACTACTACTGGATGGTTACCTGATAAAGTCCTGTTCTACATTCATGCCTGCTTGCTATGTGACTCCTTCCCCATTTGATCCTGAACTTAATCTACTCTACCCGAACAGCGGTGCTTGTAATCTCATTGGGTGACCATAGTTTTGTCCCACCCCACATCCACCTAAGGGAGTTCCCTTGTTCTCCACCACCTTAGACTCACCTCACCACATTGTTTTACTCTATAAAAGTCCCTGGAAGAGACAGCTTCCAGGGGACAACCTGCTTAGGCCCCCCCTCCTGTCCCTCTCTCAGACAAGATCTTTCTTTCCCTCAATAAATATATTCTGCTCATAACCTCTATTTGTTTCTACAATTCATTCTTCGGTTTTAGAGAACACAAACTTGTGCAAGTCAGGGTGGGAGATCATTTTTCCCTATGTCATTTGGAGGTTCCCTGTATCACTTGGAGGTCACCCACCGAGATCAGTTTTTCTCCCTGTATCAAATAAATTACAGTTTTAACATTTTCCAAACTACAAACTCAAAATTCTTGTTTTCTTCCTTCAGCATTTACAAAAGAATCCTTCAAACACTAAAACTGCAAATAATGCTTCCAACCTTTATTGCCAAAACCTATCTCCTGAGAACAGGAACAACTTTATTCTTATAGTTCTTGGTTAAAGAACTATGAGTATTACGTTATCATTCAAAGAGCAGGCATTCTTTCATCTGAATCAATCCTCTCCACATCCAGGATTTAACAATCAGAAAGCTATGTATTATGTTGTCAGACTTAGAACGATTGTGACTGTACCAAGCACATACAAACTGACAGGACACATCCCCAGAAGAATATAATATAGCACTTACATTGTATTAAGCATTATAAATGACCTAAAAGTTGTACTTAAAAGGATGCATGAGAATGTGCACAGGTTATACTCAAACACCCATTTTCTAGGAAGGACTTGAGCACATTCTTTAGATAAAGAAAAGGCACTGCTGAAACCAATCGCTACAGATACTTAAGAGACAACTGTATAAAAAGAATCCACATGCATGCCTTATTAATTGCCACTATCCCTTTCCCCTTAAATATGGCAACTGCCTTTCAGCTATTATGAAGGAGAAAAGCAAGTTATTTTCCTTTTTCCTCTATTTACAAACTTGCAGCATACTTAGGCGAAGTTTTCTCCTCACACCACACAACTCTTCAGCAAACACCAATTGAGTATTCTACAATTCAATTCTGATGCTATCTACCTAGGCACCAAGCATGTGTGAAACAAACATCAAACGGGCACCCTACATACATTTCAAGCCAATTCTGATGTTACCTACCCAGAGATAAGGTCAAATCCCACAGAGTGAGACTGCCCCCTTTCAGATACCAACTGCCAAGTCCAAGCCACTTGCCTTCCTGATCAGCTGGCAACACTCTAGGGTTTCTACAACCCCCTCTTTGGGTGCAATGGATTTACCAGAATGGCTCACAGAATGCAAGGAAACAATTTCACTGGTTTATTCTGATATTATAAAGGACACAGATGAAAAGATGCACAGGGCACGTCTAGTTACTCTTCTCTTATTGCTGGGACAAATACCGGACACCCAAAATGCAGGAAAGGTTTATTTAGCTCACAGTTACTGGAGGCTTCAGTCCATACTCAGCTGGCTCCCAGGCAGAGCCGCACACGACAGAGGACATACCTTTCAAGGTGGTGGCAAAGAGCAAGAGCCTGAAGGAGGGGTAGCAGCAGCTCAAACTGCTAGCTTCTCTTCCCGCCTTACATTGTAATGCAAATTACCTGCCCTGGGGCAAGTACAGCATCCACACCCACAATAATCACAAACTCCAGAAGCTGCCCCAAGACTGCATGAGGCTTTGTGGGGGACAACTATTCACAAACCATAACAGGGCAAGGTTCAAGTCAGTCAGGGAGGTGGTGTGGCACTTGCATTTCATTTGTGGGCACTATGACAATCCCAGTACTGCCAGCAACCTGGAAAGTAGTCCAATACTGTTCAAGTCTTTATAGAGCTTGATCTCCATCCCCACTTCTCTCCTCACTCTCCCGAAGGGCAGAAAAGTCCCCATTCTCTACAATCTTTTGGGCTATTAGCCCCATCCTCAAGCTATTCACAGGGACTCCACCCTAAATCACCCCATTGAAAATGCAATATTATCAAAGGAGCTCATAAGGAGTAACAAAAGACACTCCTCCCACAGAAGAAATCCCAGAAGATTTAACTAGACTGGCAATAAAACTAGCCTCTCAGATTCAGTTCTGCTAGGGTTTGTATGTAGATATCCTCCCAAGCCTCAGGACTCACAGGGAGGCTTTAGGGAGGGACTGGACCCTGAGTGTGTGATATTCATCAGTGGATTAGTTCACTGATGAGTTTATAGCTAAATGTGATGCTGGGGGTTGGAGCCTGTATGGAGGTGTGGGGTGCTGTTGCCTCAATGGCACAAGGGTCCATCTTCTATGTTCCTCCTGGATCTCTCTCTGCTTTCCACCTCTAGACCACAGGCTCTTTCTCCTCTGCCCACAGAAGAAATCCCCGAGTATCACTTATGAGCATCAGGTGTTTTGTCCCAGCAATTACAAAGTAACTAAGGCAAGCTCTTACCCATTACATATTCAACCCAGCAGCCACAGTGACCCTTTTAACACAGTAAGTCAGATGATATCACCCTTCACCCAGAATTAAAGTCAAAAGGCCTTACTTTTCTGACCCATCTTCTATCACCTTATTTTTTTTAAATGTATTTGGTTGTTATAGGGTCTCACTACGCAGCTTAGACTTGTGGTGATCCTCCTGCTTTCAGCCTCCTCAGCATTAGGATTACAGGCACGCACCATCACACCAGGACTCTGGCCAGCTGGGGGGTGGGGGGTGCCAGGGACCAAATCAGTCCCTGTGCCTGCCTAAGCAGGCGCTTTAGTCCACTGAGCTATCTCGCCAGCCCTATAACTTTACTGACTGAAACATAGCTCTGCTGGTTTCATTGCCAATAACAGAAACATGACAAGCAGCTTCCACTCTCAGACCCCCTCCTTGTGCAACTTTTCTACTTGCCTGGAAGGCAGTTCTCTTCTTCTTAAAGGCCTTTGCTCAAATTTCATTTTCTCAGTGAGGCATTCTGTTAACAACTTCATTTATAACTGCAAAGTCTTCCTGACAAGCTACTGGGCACTGCCTGAATTTTCTCAACAATACATTCTATCATGTGCCACCTCCACTGAAGGGTAAGACCAGAAATCCTTTAGTGGAACTCTAGGTGATTCTGAACTGCAAGTCTGACTGAACTGAACAGATCTGAAATTAGAAGACTCCATTCCAACCATGCTCTGCCACTCTGGAAAAATCTGTTCCCAAATCCTCTAAATCTGCTTTCTTTTTTGCAGTGCTAGGGATCAAACCCAGAGCCCTGTGCATGCTTGGAAAGTAGGCTAACACGGAGCCACATCCCTAGCCTGTCTGTTTTCTTACTTGAAAAATGGGAATACCTATCTTGCAAAGGTTTGAGAATTAAATGCATACAAAAATTTCATGAATCACTAAGTATAATAAAATGCTGAGTAATGAAAAATGTAACGATCTAGATAAATACCAGATAAAAATTACTGTAATTCTACAAGATATTTACAGTCTTTTAAGTACATAAAATTTAGCACACAGTATACAGTGGTTTTAGATGAAACAATTTCTAAAATACTCTTTCAAGTTAATTAGAAACAATTGTTTCAATCAGTACCTAAATTAATAAACCAAAACAAGGAGCAAGTACTCATGCTAATATCTAACAAGAACCCCCACAAAGTTGAAAAAAAACAAACAAACACATATGTGCCACCTCAGGAATCCAAATGTCAAAAATAAACTGTTTAAAACTGTTAAAATACATAGTTTAAAACTGTATACTAACTAGGCTTACAATGTTAAATTATGTGCTAAAAATCTGTACTCTATAAGATATACAAAATGAGCAAAAATATAAATAATGAACAAAAAAGCAAAAGGTTAAAACCAATATGCTATGTAAGATAATACTTTACCTGCAGATCCTCACACAAAAAGATAGATTCTTGAAAGCTAATTCGGTAAGTCTTTAAGGCTTTTAACTTTCCCTTCTCTCTACAAATAGGACAATATCCATCTGAGATAATTTTAGCTGAATCATAATTCTAAAAGAGAAATAAAGCAAGTTAAAATACAGACGAACCTAAACTACATCTAATTACAAAAGGTCAAATGGAAAAGTAACCAGAAAAAAATTACAATTTTCAACAAACATCTCAGCAAATAAAACAAATGCATAAGATTTTAAATACAGCTATTATTTTTAAGAATGCAGTTTTAAAAACTAACCAAAGCATCAATTTTATTTGCAAGAAAAAGGTAACATCAAGCACCAAGTAAAATATATGTTCCATATTCTCAAACTAAACTGTAAAGTCTATGCTCTGTTTACTTTCACACTTCAATAAAATACAAAGAGGTAAACAATCTTTCGCCATTGCTATAAGATTTCCGTGGAAGATACATCTTTTTAGAATTGGTAAAATTAAAACCAAATTTAAGTCTCAAAAATAGAAGGGGGAGAGAAAACTTTGCACTGAGGCAAGAAATAAGTTCACTAACTTTTCCCAAATACCCCACCATGGGGAGTGAAGATATCCCTATATCAGGCCCTTGTCCAATCACTGGCAAACCATTTCCAATCTTCGGAGAATCCATCATTCCGAGTCTTTGGCTAATTTATGTCACTTGAAACATGTCAATATCACTAAGGATTTTTCAATGAACCCTGGAAAAAAAAAGTCAATAGACAATTAAACAAAAATCCTATTTAAAAGAAAAAGCTATGCTATTTTATAAAAGAAATATATTTTTAACATATGTCCCAGGATAGCCAATCTTAAAATTGTGATCTTGAAATTGAAAATATCTAAATTTATTTATATAATTATCAAATAATAGGAAGAGGGTAGAAACTAGCCATAGGGTTTATTTTCACTTGCAACTCACTGGTGAGCAAATAAAACAAAACTTGTAGTAGTAGGAGCTTCTATGTATTTAAAGTAAACTATACTGACTACAGTTTGAAAACGTAAGTTTTTAAGTGTCTATGCACAATTAAAATCAAACATGCCCACATTATCATGAGAAAGTTCCTGAAACCTCCCAAATTTATTATTTTACTACTTAACAGGGATAAAAGAACCAATGAACCACAGGTGTCATACACTCTTATTTTTAACCAATACTTTGCCAGCTGAGAAGCTTATTTTGTTTTGTTTGAGATAGGGTCTCACTATGTAGACCAGGCTAGCCTCAAACTCAGTGATCCTCCTGCCTTAACCTACTTACAGGCGTGTGCTATTACAGCTGATAGAGTTAACTTTTTAAGTCACCAACAATTTATGTTTCTGTGATTTGCACCAGAGCAAAGCATATAAACATTGCTGTAGTACAAATAAAACATCAGAAGCTTCTTCTGAGTGTAGTCTTGTGAAGTAAAAACATATCCAGAGACCAAAATTACAAGATACAGATAAGCACAAGAAAAATGCTGTTAAAAACAATTTAAATTGGGGGCTGGAGAGATGGCTCAGTGGAATATGCGCTTGCCAAAAACAATTCAAATATATATCTTTAATTTTGGGTATGGGTAATCAAACTCATTACCTATGCCATGAGCTAAATCCCTGCCCCCCTAAAATTTTGTGTGTGTGCGCATACGCAGGGAATCGAACTCACAATCTTGTGCTTGCCAGGCAGGCGCACCCACTGCTATCTCCTTGGTCCTTATATATGAATTTAAAATGTAGCAAAATCACATGTAAGAATCCTTAAGTAGAAGAAAATTAACACTTAACAAGGGCATTGTAAAAACTTCTAGCCTGTGTCTTTCCAAAACCTAAAAAAATTCAGGCCCAGCCAAATAGCTCAGTGGATTAAAGTGCAGGGGGCCAGCAGTTCAATCCCCGGGCCTGATGTGCTGGCCTCCAGGAGCACGCTGAGACTGGGCGTGGTGGCACGCCTGTAATCCCAGCTCTTGGGAGGCTATAAACAGGAGGATGGATCACTATGAATCCGATCTAATAGTGAGACCCTGAACACGCTGTAGACCCTTCCCTAAAATAAAAAAAAAACCTAAAATTCCATCAGTCTACCGCAACCATATTCTAGGATTCAGTAGCTCATTAAGTCCCTTTAAAAACTAGTCATGCTTTTCTAGCTGTATAACTTCATACACCTTGCAAGCCAAGGAATAATTTCAAAACTAAAAAACTCCTTTTTAAAAAGTCAGCATCAAAGAGCCTTGCTCCTAAAGAAATAATCATAAGTCGGGGTTTCTCAATTACAGCACCACACACATCTTGGGTCAGGTAATTTTCTGCTGTAGGAACTATCCTGCACACTGAAGAATGTGTAGGAGCATCGCTGACGTCTACCCACCAAAACTCTCTAAAACACTGCCACCATGCCCCAGGGAGAGAAAATCCTCTGACTGAGGATTGCCTTGAGCGTTATTCCAAGTAGGGTGTTTTTGTTTTTTAGGCTTCTCATAGACAATCTTGTCATCTTTGGCTGCTTCAAGTCAAATTAATACGGAACCCAAATAGTAAAAGCATGAGCTTTTGCACTTGAACAAGGGTCCAAAAATTGATCTATAAAACTGGTTTAAGAATTAAATGAGATAAAGCTGACCTGATACATAATTAAGTACAGCTACTATTCGGTGCTAACTGTATACTTCACTATGCAAGCAATACACAGTGCACCTTATACCATTCCCCACCATTCTCAAAAGAGAAACTGGTAGGCTGTGTATCTGAAGGAAATTGTTTCTGATAAAAATTTCCATCGGCCTGGGGTACCCGAGTGGTTCTCTTTCTAAGTACCTGGGTTAAACAGAAGCAGCCCTCAAAACTGCCCTCCTGATTCCACCACCACCACCACTTCAACGGGGAAATCAGGTAGGTAGAACCCCCAACTAAAAATTTATGAAAAGAAAATAGAAAACAAAAAGCCACCTAGGTCTTCTTTCAAATACAAAACTCCTGGGGTGGCTCTTAAATTTAGCAACTGCCTTCATCGTCTTCCTTTAAAGAATAGCCTGCTCCTGCTCCATCTCACCAAAAATTTTGGCATCTTCAACCTTTCAAACACAAAATTAGCAAGTCTGAATTTTTCTCCACTCTCGCTTCCCTCTCTTTCACAGAGTAAATCACCAAATTCTGTTAACGGATCTTTTGAAAATGTTTCCTCTCTCCATTCTGTCCCCACTCCATATCACAGATAAAACGAGCAATTCCACTCCCAGAAAACAAGTCTGAATCTGTTTCGGCTCTGCTTAAAATCACCTATTTACCCGAGCCTGCTTAGAGAAAGAGTCCATGCAAACAGCTTACTTAGCATCACCTCGAAAGTGGTACCATGACCTGAAGTTCACTGCACGATGAGACCCCCGCTTTTATCACCCTCTACCTCCCCAAGCATCTTTCCTCTTACGTCTTCTCAAGACTTCTCTGAGCCCAGAGCCCCTGCCCAATACGGCCCAGGCACAGGGCCGTGAACATGCAGAAGTGACCCTAGGTATGAGAAAAAGTATACAAATAAACTTAATCGACACTCCAGTGTGCAAAACGGGGAGACCCAGAGAAATAACTGCTCCAAGAAAGGCCTCACTCAGCTCCTCGCGCTTTGCGCGCCCGGACCCCGCAGGCTCAGCACGCGAACTGCCGCAGCCTCGGGGCCGAAGCTGAAGAACCGGGTCGGCTTTTGGCGGCAGCTCTGCTGGATCCGCTGCGCCGAGCCGACGCCGACGGCACCGAGCGGGAGGAGCTGCAAAGCCAAGAGGCGTAGAGCTCCGCTCAGCGCTCCGTTAACCCGGCCCAGCCCCACGCCCGTCGGGAGACGGAGACCAACTCTGGTTTCTCTTCAGCGTTTACCTCCCCGCACCCAAGCGGACCTGCACCTCCACCTCCGCAGCCTTCCCACTGGGGCTCGCCCCAGCCCAGCCTTCCGCGGGCCACCAACCCGCGGGCCACCCAAGCTGTTCTTTTCCCCACTTCGAGCGCCGAAGGAAACTAGTCCCACTCCCCGCTTACCTGCCCGGAGCACTCCCCTTCTCCGTACCGGGCCGGCCCGAACTCCGGTTCCAGCTTGCGCGCCACACCAAGTCGCAACGTTCAACCCACGTTCCCCTCTGACTACTCCTCCCCCACCGTAGCTCGGCTGGGAAAGCTACTTCCGGTTGGAGTCCCCAGCAAAAGCGTCCCCCTTACCACTGCTAGGGGGGAATGAAAGGACGTAGGCGTGGCGGGGAAGGCTAAAACCGCAGCACTTCCGGCCGGGGCAGGCCGAGGACTGGCTCCCCGCCCTGCGGCCTCAGCCTCGGTTTCGGCTGAGATAACGAGTAGGGGCGGGGCCGGTGGCTGCCCAGCCCCCTTTGTGGGAGTGGCTGGCTTTGGGAAGGCGACGTTTCTGGAAGCTGCTGGAAAGCGCTCCAGTGGTAGCGGTGACGCCGGCGTCTGAGGGTGGGGCGTCATTAAAACTAGTGCGCGACCCTCTGCGGAGGGATTACGCCGCTGAGGGAAAAGCCCCGAGATCATCTCTGCGCCCTGAGCCGCGCGATCCCTGACCGGGAGCTCAGGGTCCCGGGGTGACTCAGGGTGCTGTCCGAGGGAAGACGGGCGCCTCGGAAGCTGGGCTCGGCGTCCCCGCGGCCCACGGCGGAGCAGTGTCGAGCGCCCGCAGCCCGCTCCTAAGCCTCGGTGAGAGCCGAGGGCTCAGTGCGCGTGCACAAAGGGTCACCACACACCGCCGCCCCGCCCTGCTCTCCAAACCCCACCTTGTAGGCTAGGGACTTTTCTTTCGGGATTCTGGGGTGACTCCTTTCCTCCCTCCCAGATCTTCGAACGGTAAGGAGAGTGCACGGACTTGGCTCTCCAGAACCCGTTCTGAGAGGGAGCGGCCGATAGGTTCCTGCTGCACTCCTTTCAGCTGCCCTTGTTAAACTTCAAGGAAGGGGAGTTGTCATTTTAGTTGATAAGTTTTAAGACTGCCTTTTAGGTTAGTCTTGTGGTTTAAGGGGACATCGTGACTGCGGCTGCTGGGTCTGAGTCTGCATTCTAATTCTTGAAAGCAACTTATTCCAGAAGTCCACTGGGCCGATTGTTTCTGTGCCTTAGGATGTCACTCTGTAGTTTCTATTTCTTTACAGAAGGAACACGATTGGCATTTTTAGTCTGGGTTTTGGGTTTTGGAGGGGATTCTGGGTTTTTGCTTTTCGTTTTTAGCGTCCTTAAATGATTTTGGAGTAATGCTGGTAACTGATAGGGTGGTATGGAGGAACCAAGCCATGTGTATAAAGAAATTCTGAGTAAAAAAGGGTTTTAGTTTGTGGTGCTTCTAGATGGTCGAGGAATCCAACAATTTGCTGGGAGGTTTTTTTCTCTAGACAAAAGTAGGTTGCTTTTTGCTTATTTTATACTGGTACTGAATTATCAATGTAGTGATATATTTGTTAAGGTCTAATTGGGTGTGTGTGTGTGTTTTGTTTTTTTGGGTTTTTTTTATTTTGGTTTTTTTTTTTTTATAATAATGAAAATGAGAGCTAGTACTTTCTCTTGACATAGCCAGAATTGAGTTTTTTCTTGCATGTCATTGCTGTTTCTATTTTTAGAGTGGAATAAACCTTTTGTGTGATAAACACTGGATGTTAGCTCAAATGTAAGGAGACATTTGGCTGAAAAATGTGGCCAGAATTTTAAGATTGCAAAGCATTATCGCCAAGCCAAAATCAAAAATTAAAACATTGTCATCTAAAAAGTTGATTTATAGTTTTCTAGTGCAAATTTTCTTCTCTGACCACCCCACCCCACTCCACACTGGAATAATAAAAACAAATAGAAATGGGTCCTGGTTTGTGGAGAGAAAAGAATTTAGTTTGTGCTAGTTTGACTTGAGAGTTTGCACCCCTGTTTTAAAAAAAAAAAATCTTTAGAGATTTTGCTATAGGAGATTAGGAAAAGTTGAGTAGAAAAATTTCCCCTCACTAATATTAGATAGTGGGGCCGGGGAGATGGCTCAGTAGAATAAGCGCTTGCCTGCCAAGCACAAGGGCATGAGTTCAATCCCTGGTTCTGGGAAAAAAAAAA